AGAGTCCATGGAAAGGACTGGCAAGGAAAATCAGAAGATCTTAAAGCAGGTCAGTGTATTTTTCTCCCTATATGATCCCTCCGAAATTTGGCAATACTTAATGAATGAATCATGGCAATGCATTTCTTTGCATAAATTCAATAAGACCGGTTTCTAATGGTGGTTTTATTGACCGAAAACTTTAACTGGAGTGTCATGTTTTAAAGAGACCTGTCTGGACTCTGAAGACTTGAAGCCAATAAGAGTGCCATGGAGAAAGCCTGGTATCTTGCTTGGTAGCTCTGAAAATGGATGGTGTTGGAGTGTCAGGCCCATACCCTGCCATCGCTGGCAGTTGGTCAGAGTGGAAGGGGAGAAACGAGGGCACCTCTGTGTCCCTGTGGACCCCCATGCACTCTAGGTTGTGAGGAGTAGGGGGGTTAATGAGATGGGCCTTGAAGCCTAGGGCACAGGCTGTGTGGAGTCACTGCAGGTGAGGAATTCACCTAACCCAGCAGATACTGCAGGCAGGCTGATGGCAGCTGGATGGCTTGGCTTCTCTGCCCTATGGGGCACATTGAGACTCAATCATGAAATTCCGGCAAAGGCGATCAGTTACCATTCTTGTTGTGTTTATGCAAACAATCAGGCCAAATTGAATGTAATAGATAAATTGGTCTTAATTTGGCTCTTTAATAAGCATAAGGGTGATTTTAAGGAGAAAAATTCTATTTCAATAAGAGTTATTAGAACTGAAATGTTTTCTTTCCCTTCCACCAGACCTTTTGTTGTAACTCTTGCTGTTCTAATTGCTCAATAATACTAAATTTTATAATACAGTTGGTCTCCGCCAGGTCACAAGCCCACCTCCTTCCGTGCCCAGGCCTCATCGTCCCTCTGACAGAGAGCAGGGATCTCTTGGCTCTGAAAGAAAACTCCATCCCTCCTCAGCATGGAAGTAGTCAGAGGATCCCACCGACGTCCATTTTCCCTGAAAGAATTCAGAGCCAGGATCCTTGAGGGGATGTGTTAGGCAGTTAGACAGACATGAGCAGAGCAAGGACGATGGGCTAGCTGGAGAAGAAATAGATGGGACCCTGAGACATGCTTCTCAACACTTCAACTGCTCTGAAGCTGGAAATGAAGAAACCTGTGTAGATTCCCTCTCCCTTCCTCTAAGAAAGCCAACAGGTTTAGAACAGCTAATAGAGAGAATCAGTAGGCCCTGAAGCCCCTGATGTTACTCCACACCAGGTCTCTCATCACAATCCCTTGGGTGATAAAGATGAAAAAAAAACTCGAGCTGCTGAACACCCTATTCCCTAGCTTTTTTTTTTTTTTTTAAATAATTTTTATTTCTTGAAGTATTACAAAGAGTATTACATATGTCTCCTTTTTCCCCCCCTTGACATTCCCCCAGCCCCTACCCCCTAGTGTCTTGTGTCCATTGGTTATTCTTATATGCATGCATATAAGTCCTTCGGTTGATCTCTTAACCCCCCCCCAAAAACCCTTCCCAGACTGTAGTTTGACAGTCTGTTCAGTGCTGCTCTGCCTCTGCATCTACCCCTGTTCATCAGTCTATACTGGTCCCCATTATCTGCCCCAACCTCACTGGAGCCGTCCCAACCTCACCGGGGCCGTCTCGGCCTCACCGGGGCTGTCTCAACCTCACCGGGGCCATCCCGACCTCACCGGGGCCGTTTCAACCTCACCGGGGCCGTCCTATTCCCTAGCTTTGAGTCTTCTATTGAATCCCCACGGCTGAAAATCAGCTTGAGGATCAATGATTGGGAAAATGAAACATTTTGGGGGGCTAGCAATCTGAATCTGAGCCAGTAACCTAATGTACATTCTTGATAGCCTATAATTAAGTCACTGCCCCTTTCTCCACAATCTGGTCTTGCAAGACCGATTTACCTAAGTACTGCTCCCATTTTACAGAGGCCATAAACCATGAACAATGCCCAGATGGGGTTATCAGTGCTGGCGCCAGGCCAGGCCTCTAGGTGTGGTCTCAGGGCTCCCATCCCAGCACATGGGGCTTTTTGCAAAGCCTGAGAAAGGTCTGGAAGTCCCATATTTGGGGGACAAAGAAACCAAAGGGTATAAAGGGAGAGCTTCCTCCATATTGGTTTGCTCAAGATTTGGAGAGAAAAAGTCTCCCCTGAGTCCTGTACTAGTACATGCGAAACATCTGAAAATAAATGGGTTTTTCCTGTGTTTCTGGTACTCCTGTGTATTTTTCAGTCACCTGGTAAATTCTATAACAGAATTATGTGTTACACTAAACTCAGAGAAATTAAAAATCCTCAAAGTTTTCAGGTCTGCCCTTTGAAAACAGTTTCAGAATTTTCGAATAAACAAAAAATCATTAGGAGTCAGATATAATAATAGTTCTATTTAAAGCCATGTTATGGCCATAAAACAGTGAGTAATTTTCTTGCATAGCTCAAACTGATGAAAAGGCAACTTGATTGGGGAGATCAGCACAACCCAGCCCCATCCCACCGCCCTTGACTGACTGCCAAGGGGATGCAAAAGACAGACTCCGTTGCCTCAAGGTGGGATAAACTCTGTGGTGTCATTTATGCTCCAGGGTGGGATAAACTCAGTTGAAACCACATTCTCACTTAAGTTTCTCCTCCTGTTTCCCTTGCACATCTTTTCCTAAAAGCATTCCCTCAATAATTCAATTTCTTGAGAATACTATCTCAGGCTCTATTTCCAGGGAACCCAACCCAATCAGCCTGTACCAAAAAAAAAAAAAAAAAAAAGATGAATACTAATGACATCCTTTGAATGCCTGGATCTCACCAAGTTTTTTCTCATACTTTTTAGTTAGGTGAGCCAGTAAGCTATTTGGATTTGAGTTTCTGTCATTTGCATCGAAGAGTCCTGACATTTACCAGCATTCTATAAATGTTTGTTGACTAAGTATATTGAATTATAAATAGAGTGAAATGGAAATATAGGTGAGGATAAAACATGAGCTAGTTTGTTTAAGCTACTTGGATTGGGTTTCCGTCATTTGCATCTGAAAAGTCCTGCCATTCAGCAGGCAGTCTAGAAATATTTGTTGAATTATAAATAGAGTGAAATGGAAATAGAGATGAAGATGCAATGAATTCTGCCAAGGAGTGTTTTGAGAAGAAATGGTAATTTACATGTATCTAAGCCTATAATATGAATAATAGATCAGCAATAAGGTGAGTAGTGGGGACATACTGGGTCTAAGGAGCCTTTGTAAAAGCTAAGGTTTGGCAATCTGAAAGTACCTGTTTTTTGAGAGAAAAAAAAAATGAGTTGTCCTACAACTCAAAGGGGTGAAAAAAATGCTGATTTTGTTGAAGCAGCAAGTTTATAAGATTGTAGAGAAGGGAAGGCTGACTATTACAGGCATGTATTACCAAGATTGTGGACTAATGCTGACAGGTGGGCTGGAAAAGAAGGTACAAAAAGTACAAACAACAATCTGATGCAATGACAAAGAGATGGCAGCCAGCATAATTGAGCTGTGGCTGTTAGTCATGGTCACATGCAATCAGGGTAAAGATCTGCTGAGACCCATGGATTCTGAGGTGTGTTCTTCACCCACATGGGAGCTCAATGTACACACATCAGTGTCCTTGGAGTCATTTTGCCCTGATCTTTTCACCTCAGGCAAGAGCTGGTCTGTACAAGGTAAAATTCACTTATTTTGATTATGTTAAGTCATCATCCAAGTCACTAGTCATTTTCAGAAAGCAATATTATAGGTAGGCAGTATTATTCATATTCATTGCTCATAATAACACCTGCTCCCACAATGTATAATATGAACCTACATATATCCAGAGGCTTTCATATGAATTACCACATTTAATCTTCACAATCATTGAACAAAGATCAAAGAAGTTAAAACTTTGCCAAAGTCACCAGACTTTAAACCATATTTTCTCTCTTCATGTTCATGCCTCATGGTGATCCCTATGGGCACTCAATAAATATTTGCTAAGATGAGCTGAAATAGGACCACTAGTTCTTTTTAATATGTTTATTTACTTATTTATTTATTTGAGAGAGAGAGAGAGAGAGAGAGAGAGAGAGAGAGACATTGATTTGTTGTTCCACTTATTCTTGCATTCAGTGGTTGATTTTTGTATGTGGCTGTCAGGGATTGAACCTGCAACCTTGTCATATTGGACTGATGCTCTAACCAACTGAGCCACCCGGCCAGGGCTATACCACTAATTCTTGACTTTTATTTGTCTGTGCTTCTCAGGATAATGACCTTACCCCAGCACAGTGGGTATCAGGCTTCCCTTGAGAGTAAGCCTTCTTTGTAAGCTGCTTTTCTTGCTGGAAGAACCTGACCCTCATCCTACATTCCTTTTGGACATCTAATAGGCATTTCAGACTTAACATGTCTAAAATGAAATTATTGATGATTTTTAAAATCCATATATTCTCTAGTCCTCTCCCACTCTTCCCCATTTCAGCAAATGATCCACCATTTGTTGGGGTCCAACCCCAGCAGGTCCAGGGGGTCCCCAAAAGTGTGGACGGAGTCCACATTGGAATAAATGTTGACTTACATCTTTAAAGGCTTCTCCTGTACATGCAGAAGCAAGGATAATATGAGAAAAGGTATCAATACAAACATGCACATAGCAAAGTTTGCCAAAAGATGGGACATGAGTAATACCCATCTGCCATAAGTCACAGGGTCTAAGTCCTCTTGGATTAACTCCAGTAGCAGGGCTAGGAAAATGAGTAGGACAATGGCCGCAGTCACGCACAATACTTCGAGCAGCTTCTCTAGATATGCGATAATATAGACGGAGAGCAGAAGCATTTTGATGGTGAATGGCATGAGACCGCCGGGCTTCTTCTAGAGCTGTACAAACTACTGGGCGAGCAGCTGATCGATGTTTCTCTCTCATCGATGTTTCTAGCTCTCTCTTTCCCTTCCTCTCTGTAAAAAATCAATAAAACATATTTTAAAAAAACAAAATACAAAAAACCAATACTTCTTTGGAAGATTTCTCTTCCTTTTGCTTGTATTTGATCTGCAAACACCTCATGTCAAAGTTTCTGGAGACTTCCCTGGAAAAAAATTCTGGAAACTTCTGGAAGAAAATCATAGTAGACAAGGGCTCAGAGCAGACATAAGCAGCTCCATTTTATGCACAAAGTTTCGACCTTCCATTTTATTCCACTGAACTTCTTTGAATGGGCCACGCAGATGATTCCATTTGCTATCTTGTAGAACATCACTTTTTGGGAGGTCTTTACACTGGTTACGTGGAAACTGAACCATAATCTTGCTGCCACTTTCAGGGCCGTTGCACACTGAAATAACATAGTCACCACTTGGGGAGGCCACTGTTATAGCGGAAGCATTGCCAGTGCTCTCTATGTGCCCAAGCCCCACATGATTACTGAAACTCAGAACTTGCCAGCCCATGACCTTGGCTAGCTGCTGAACTGCATGCACCTGATGCTGCGACATCTGAGACAGAAGGAAGTCCTGCAGCTCCTGCTCCTGGTGAGACAGCGTGATTTCTCTTCCATCTCTGTGTACCACGTGGATCTGCTCAACTCCAATGTTCAACTGCAGCTGAATGGACTTGCATATTTGTTCATAACCTTGTGACGTGATTAAGACTTTCACACTAGATTCATAAACATCATTAATATTTGACCAGTGAGCCTGTATCTGAGGGTCCTCAATGCGACTTGCTACGCTGTCAATGGTTGCAGTAGTCCTACTCCTCAGAAAAATATGCTTTGCTTGTTTGATTATTTTTTCCAGAAGCCCTTCACTGGACTGTAGTGAATTGATTTCATTTTTATCAAAAGCTTGAGGACCGGAAAGTCTCATTCTCTTGTGGCCGAAAGGTGCACTCGCTGGATGAGGCATCATGATGGAACTCAAGGTCTGTTTATGAAACTCTCTCATCAGTAGATGCAAATTATGCTCTAGGACATAAAGGTGGTCCTCCGGACTTTGCTTCTCTGTAGCAAATTTTTGGGATTTCTTGTCATTTGAGAAATGGCACAAAGAAATTGATAACTGCAAGTTTGGAAAGGGCCGAGAGATGATCTGGTTTTTCACCACAATGTGAGGGATCTGTGATTTAATGTGAACAGCTTCCTGAGAGAGCTGTGCAAAAATTTCTTTACACAAGAGAACATTTTGTGCTGCTTCTAATTTCGTCTGCCAATGTGGGGAACCTGGTTTGGATTTGGGCAAAGGCCGTTTGAAGAGGTTAACCGTGCCCAGATCACCTATGTCTGGAGCCGGTTTTTGAATGGAAACCTTGATATGTGCAGATCCCTCTAAATCGCTAGGAATTTGAACATCCAGGGGACAGTAATCTTCAGGTATCTTCTTATCTAGATCAATATCTGTATTCTTTATGACCTCAAATGTACCAAGATGGGGAAAGAGAGATCCTGCACTTCTGTAGCTGAGATCTCCAAGAATTTTATCTCCAACTTTTCTAAGTTTCCAGTGTTGTCTTAATCTCTGAAGCTCAGAGTTGAAGTCTCTTTGTAGCTTATTTTCTTGGTTTTCGGTAACTGATTTAGTCAGTCTTTCTGCGGCCTTCAATAGGATTTGTGCTGCTCCAGCAAGTGACTTCTTTTTAGCTATCAACTGTAACGTCTGGGGATTCTGTTTTGGAGGAAGTCCATCCTGAGAAACGGGATCAAGAGTCATAAATTTTTTATCCCTAACGATACTGAGAACATCATAGAGAACGCACATCTCTGTCAGGGCACTTCTCAAACTGTTCCTCACTGAGTCCCAAGGCCAAAGGGGAGGCTGAAATTTTACCAACCCTTCCTCGTCGTCCTGGTCCCCGCTGGCCCCGGCGTCCACCCAGTCCTGCGCATCGCCCTCGGCGCCCCCTGCCTCCTCCTCGGGGCCGAGCCCTGGCTGAAGTCGATCTGCTGCGCCAGACGCGCCAGGTTCTGGGACATGGACAGCGGCTGCAGGTAGGTCTCTGTGCCATCCAGGCCCACCTCCCAGACCCGCTTCTCGCAGGCCGACTCCATGCTGATCCGCATAGCGCGCACCCCAGACATGTTGGCGGCTGGGCACGTGGCGGGAGGACCCTTGCGTGAGCCAGAAGCCGTTCTAGGCAGCCGGAACGCCTCCGCCCACCTGGGGAACGCGACGCCCCCCGCGGGCTGTCAGAAACCGGCCATTGCTCCTCCACAGGAAACAAAGCTGAGAGCCGGCCACTTCCCAGAATGCACTGCAAGACCCTCCGCTAGGAGTCTCTGGGAATGAAATCGATGAGGTGCAGTGCGGGGCTCCAGGGGCTTCGGGGCAAGAACTTCCAGTTGGTTCTCGAGCGGTGGCGGGAAGGTTTGACTGCAGGTCCAGCAGGTCCAGGGGTCCCCAAAGGTGTGGACAGAGTCGGTGAAGAAGGAATGACACAGAGGTAGTATTCAGTTGATCAGCAGCCTAGCCAGGTTCTCTAGCCAGTATCTCAGCCAGAATTCTTTTCTTTTTATTGTCTTGTACATCTGTATTTATACCAGTTGATTTTAATCCTGTCAATTTTTATTCCAAAGGTTAGGGCGTTTCTTATCTCCATTCCAGGAAGTAAAGATTATGTAGCTTAAGGGTGATTGTTTGTAGTTAAAGTGATTAACTACCCCCCTGGCATTTAGTTAAGGGGTTTTATTCCCTCCCTAACTTCAGGGAAAAATCCCTACCTGAGAAAACAACCTTTCTCGGAGAGGTGACCTTGGTTAAAACACATAGTGCCAAGAAGGGGAGCAAACATATTAAGGACAGTATGCCATATACGCCAGGTCCCTTGAAACATATGCTATGCAGATGTTTCTTCCCTGCAGCGACTGTGTCAAGCAGCAAGGATGGACCGGCTTCCGGCAACCATTCAGTGAGTTATTAAAGCCATAAACTTGAGTGTCAACCTGTTAATTTCACTTCCAAATTAGACCAAAATCTATTCAATCCTCTCTATTATCTCCACTAGTACCATCCTAGACTAAGACACCCTTCTCTCAAAGCTGGAATAGCCTCCTAATTGTACTTCCTGATTCTAATCTTGTTGGCCCTTACACATAGCCCATTCTACACACATCAGCAGAGTGAGCTTTAAAAGTGTAAACCAGATCACAACATTCTTTGATTTAAAATCTTTTAATGGCCTCTAATTGTTTTTTGGATAAATCGATTCTTAAAGAACCTACAGTGCCCCTGAGGTATACAGTGAAGGAATAAAATAGAGTCACTATAGTCAAGCTGTTAAGTTATTACAATCAAGTAAGTTGAGGCATGAGGAAACAATTCTATTTTTGTTTTAACTAGCCTAGAAACTTGCACTTTTAAATTTCCCAGTCCTGTGCCAATGCCTCCAGATAATTCTCCAATTATCTCCTGAAGGACTACATATTCAGAACACTTGACATCCACCTGACATACATTATCCCGAACACTGGATGTGACCAGACACCCTGGTGCCCATCCTTCAGACTACCTGGTATCCATCATCCAGATAGCCTGACATCTGTCTGAAAACTGCCCTGGACCAATTCTAGTACTAAAAATACAGGGCTGATTCTTCTCAAGAATGTACTTTTTACTATAAAAACTTCACTTTTCTTTCTTCATTGGAACACTTCTGGGTTTTTGCCTAGTTGTGTTTCTGGTTTACAAACCCAAAGACCCTTTAATAAATCTTTGACATTCATTTTTAGCCAAAGCCTCCAACTCTTTTTTTTGTTTGTTTGTTTTAAGATTTTTAAATTGAATTTTAGAGAGAGAAGAAGGGAGGGGGTGAGAGAGAAACATCTATGTGAGAGCAAAACATTAATCGGCTGCCTCCTACATGCCCCCTACTGGGGATCGAGTTTCCAGATTCTTCTTGAGTTGATTTTGCACCCTGCATATATTGCCTGGTTACCTTTCCAGTATCACTGTCCTCTCTGCTCAGCACATTCCACTTTGGATTTCTGTTACTTCCTAGAGTGTATCTAGTTTTTTCTTGCCTCAGGGACTTTCTATTGGACTATCTTTGCTTGGAATGCTCTTGATTAGGGCTAGTTCTCCTCATTCTTCATGACTTAATAAAATTTTACTTCTTCAAAAAGGCTTTCTGAAAACCCCCTACCTACAGTAGTTGTCTTAATATTCTCAATTGTGGCAATTGTTCTTTTTTTTCACAGTAACCTGAAATTGTTGTAATTATTTTATTTCTGAGATTCCTTGTTATATGTTTTCTGTACAAGAAAGTGAACTTCTTAAAGGCAAAGACATTGCCTAGCCTTGGTTATATCACTAATTCTTGGCACAAAGTAGGCCTTTAATAAATATTATTTAAATGAAGAAATAATTGAATGATATTTCACCTAATTGAGAAGGCTGTAAGGTGGCATTTATCCAGAATATACAAAGTACTCAGTAATAAGAAGACAAACAACTCAATAAAATATAGGTTAAAAAGGTGAAAATGCCCGGCCCATGTGGCCTAGTTGGTTGAGCATCGTCAGGTGCACCAGGAGGTCGCTGGTTCAATTCCTGGTCAGGGCACTTGCCCAGGTTGCAGGCTCGATACTCAGTAGGGGCACGCAGGAGGCAACCAACCGATGTTTCTCTCTCACTGGATTTTCTTGCAATCATGGTAATTAAATGTTGGTATTCTCAGGTTTATCTTCTATTTAGCTCAACCTGGGCTCAAATCTCTTGATAAGAAACAGTATATTGGACTCCTCCGTTTATAAATCCCTTCACTAAAAGGGGATTAATAATTCCCCGAGAGGTTTTTAACAGACTAAGAAAAACTCAGATAGTGGTTTGATGGAAATGAAAGTGTTGTTTTCAGGCTTATGATTTGTTTTGTGTGTTCTCTATTGCCTTGTTCCAAAAGAAAGCAAATTCTTTACTTGAGAACTCGCAAGTATTCATTCAGGTTAACATTTTTTTACAGATTTCGTTTGGAAAATGCAGGGGAGCCCCCTGGTGTAGCTTCTTGTTACTGCACTTGCGTGATACTGCCATCAAGCGGAGAGGAGAGTCGTAGAGGGTGGGGAAACCAAATAAAAGGGCTATTATTTATTTCTTTTGACAGTAGGTTTATTTAAGCTGGGAACAGTGAAACAAGGAAGGGCCTAGGACAGAAGAAGCAACAGGAGAGAGCCTAGACAGGGCTGCTTTGGCTCTCTGGAAAGTCGGAGAAAAGAGGTCCCTGGGAACAGGTTCAGGGGGTCAGCCCCTGGCAGCTGCCATTGTCCATTGCTCCTGTGATTGCAGGTCTGCTGGGGTCCCCTGAGTTTAGGAGATGCACACCTGTGGGAGAAGAAGAGGGGTAAGCGGAAGGTGCAGGGCTGCTCCAGGAGGGAGAGCGTGCTTAAAAGGGCTTGAAGTATCCATCTTACATAAAAACTGCTGTTTGAAATTTTAACCCTGATAGTATGGCTTCTGTCTTAAATAATAAGGAAAATAAGACTACTCCCATTCCAGAGAGGCCGTAAACTATGCCCCAGACAGAGTTGTCAATGCTGGCACCCAGACAGTTGCCAGGCCTTGAGATATGGTCTCATGGCCCCTCCCCAGCACTCAGGCCTTCTTTCTCAGAAGGCCCGGAAGTCTCATTCCAAATTTGGGAGACAAAGGACTGGAAAAAGTATAAATAAAGAGAGTTTCCTCCCTATTGGGGGCCCAGAATTTGAAAGACACATTTTTCTCTGGGCCTCCACAGAATTTAATAATAAAATGTAACTCCTGTAGTCGGCACTGCAATTCAGCCTCTGCTTCGGCAGGGTGCTGTAACTGTAGTCGCTGGCCAGCTTAATAAAGGCTCCTAAATTTTGATCTGAGTCCCTGGTGGTCATCTCCACGGGTCACCCCATTACAGGCTGACTTAACATCTTATACATCCAGGTGCTCCTGACCCTTTACGTTTGTCACCGTGGCCAGACTGGCTAATACAAACTATGTTAGAATTGGATGTAATTCAACAAGCGTTATTAAAAGTCTATTATTTTCCAGGTGTTAAACTGATTCATAAGAATGGATACTTGGAGACAGACCTAGAATCAGAAGTTAACTGTTACAGAAATGTATGCCTTACAAGGCACTTTTATGCAAATTAAAAAAAATTTGAAAAATATTTTTTATTAATTTAGTGGATTTGATTTTCTAACCGCTCTACAAAGTAGGTATTGGTATTCTAACTTTATAGCTGAGAAAACTGGGGATCAGAAAAGCAGAGATAAGCCCTGACTGGTTTGGCTCAGTGGATAGAGCATCAGCCTGCGGACTGAAGGGTCCCAGGTTTGATTCCAGTCAAGGGCATGTACCTTGGTTGCAGGCACATCCCCAGTAGGGGGAGTGCAGGAGGCAACTGATCGATGTTTCTAACTCTCTAGCTCTCCCTTCCTCTCTGTAAAAAATCAATAAAATATATTTTTTAAAAAAGAAAGAAAGAAAAGCAGAGATCTGCCCAACATTACTTTTTTGGAAAGTACTTTATTCATTTATTTTTATTCTTATTTTTTTTAGTTTTTCTTTTATAAAGTACTTTAAAATTGAGTACTTTCTATTATTGACTATATTCTTGGCCAGGTTCTAGGAATATAAGGAGAAATAAGTTTACATACAAAGAACCTTATTGTTCATTGTATGTAAAATAATTATAACACAGAGACAATATTGGGAAATACTTCCTAAGAGCAATGGGTTGGCCCTAAAAAGTGAAAATAAATATGCAATGTAGGGAAGAGGTTACTAGGCAGGGAGAAAAATAAAATGCATCAGATGCAAAGATATGGGAGTACAGAAGACCCCTGCAATAAGAGAATGGTGAAAATTTCATTGACTAAACCATCAGGTACATGCTGAGAAGTCATGGGGTTGAGCCTGGGAAACAAAGCTGCAACCAGATTGTTAAAGGCCTGTAAAGGGTTTGGATTTTTAAAAATCTCTGTCGGTTGCCACTGCTTACAATGTCAGCAGAGTAATGTTTGGAGAAGATAACTCTGGAGCCAATGAGGAAGCTACACTAAAAGAGATGAGTTAGTTGGGGGCTGTTGTAGAAGTCAGACACTGACAA